CTCTTTCTAGGCTTCATCCATCCTTGTGAGAGTCTGCTCCTTCAGTGTTCCATTTTGCCAGCCTCTGCAGCAGTCTATCCCATCAGCTGCTCTACACCAATATAATGCAGGTCTACTGGAAACAAAAAATGCTTCTGTCCACTTACTTGTCTTACTTTGCTCCTATTCTCTTATGCTCACTGATGTGACATGGGGAGCATTATCTGTATGATTAGCTTTTATAACAAAGCAACTGATGGTTTGAGTTGCCTCAGTTAAAGCTTCCATACATTTTACAACGTTTTGCCTTATCAAGAATAAACATAATGGTTCAACAGACAGAGAGAGTGAGATCCAGATGTTTGGGAAGGAGGCTCCGTCTCATGACAGGCATGGGTTAGGTGTGTAGGTCGTTGTAGGTCTTAGGTGCCTCATGTATCTGAAAGAGGCACCTTAGGTGTCCAGAGACTGACTGCAGGGTGGGAGCCTGCGAGGGGAAGAGAACCATGGTGGATGGAGACACCTGTCTTTTTCAAACCAAGACAATGATTCACTGGCTAATACAGACCCTGAGCAGATGAGTACCAGTCCTTTGGGTCAGGGAAAAAAGGAAAGAAAAAAAATAGATTGACTCCAGTTATAGTGAACTGAAAAAATCCATATGCATTGAGCTCCACTAGGAAGGCAGAAGAATCCACAGCTATCTATATTTCTTGACTTTACAATAAAATCTCATTTTATTTTACTCTGACTACAATGTTCAATAATTTTCACAGTTGTAGTGGCTTGCAATATGGATGTATATGTATTATATAGATGATATATGTATTATACAGTTGCTACAAAATACTGTCTAATGACATTTCTTTCTGTTTATTCTCTTTGAGTAAATGTCTCAAGAAATGCATTAAGCAATACTGGGAAATTTGTATTCACTGATACATTTAAAAATAAATCTCCATTTCAAACATAAAATCTTTCTTAAAAAATTAATCTTAGGCAAACTTTATACATGTAAATACCATAAAAAGCCAGTCATTATCTGAAATGTCTTTTTAAGAACTGTTTTTTTTCTTCCAAATGCCATTTTTGGAGAATTCTGAAAACAGCATTAGTTAAATGATAAAAAGTGTTTGTACAGCACCATGTACACCTCTGCCATTCCCACAAAGAAGTGCATTACAGTAATCATACTGCTGAGAAATCAGATCTATTAATGACAGCAACAGCTCTCACAGCTGAAAGTCGGCTCACCAATCTTTCACAAAGTCACTTACTTCTTCAGGCATAGTTTCCACAGGATGAGCTACTTCAGCATGTACAATGACGATGTCATCATCTGTTACCTTTTTCATGTCTCTGGTTTTTAAACTCCTGGGACCACTGACTGACCCACTGGCTTTGTGTGGTGTTCATTCTTCTTTTTGTGTTTGGTGCATCACACTTGTATCACTCACCCGGCTGAACCCAATCCATCTTTTTTTAACAGTTCACTAGTGGCTGTCACTTTTATGTCATGTTTAAACCATTAACTGTATACGCATGCCAAATGTACTTTTGCCTCCCTCACTGGTCCGGTCTTCATTGTCACCTGGTTTCTTCAGTAAACTTGTGCACACGAAGAGGTCAGATACTCTTATCTTGCCTTTAGGTGCCTGTTCTGTCTGTGAGCAAATAATTTAAAACCCAAAGGTCAGTATCTTATTTCGCAGTACATGGATGATGATAGTCTAAAAAATAAATAAATAGACTTTCTGTAATAATATCTTTGGGGTTTTTTATTCATTCTTTACCTCTCCAGGAATGAGTACACAGCATAAGTGTAATGCCACTTAGTTGTATCCAGTGTTTTCTGAGGGAATATAACTATATCCATTAGCTACATTGTTTCTTAATCTTCAGTCTTTGGGCTGCAAAATTAACCTTCCACGAAAAAATTAGTTCAGTGCTATTACCACCAGTCTTGAGAGGCACAGATGGGAATCATAACTTTGAGAGAAGGAGAATGCTTTCACTACACTAATGATCTAAACTAACCATTTTGCAGAAACATCTGATCAGAATGTATTCTTACTATCTTCCAGTTTCACTGAAAGGGTATTCCCACTGAGTGTTTCCACAAACTGAGCATTTTTCTTGGCTTCAAATACAAAATCCTAAAAGAGGGTATAAAATGATTCTCAAAGGGAACCGAAAATACCCTGAGAAAAGTGAGACCGAAAAATCCCCAAAATATTATTCAGGAAAGAATTACACATCTCACTGAATTTCAGGAAGAATTAAAGCCTGCTATAAAATTTTGAAATAGACAAGCCTTGGCAACTTACTAGGGGTTTTCCTGTTGTTTTTTTGCTTTTGTGTTTTTTTTCCCCTTTGGTCAAATGTTCTTAAATATCGCACATTATTTAAGAGCATAAAAAAGAAATCTCAGGAAATGATAAAACTGATTTTCACAGTTCAGACAAATCTATTGTCATTATACTTAGCATGCTGTTATTATGCACAATTTGTATGCCACAGTATGATGACTGGGTTAATTAAAAGCTCTTGTAATAACCATGCAGTTAAATTGCAATTAGTGCCACACATGAACTTTACGGCAGTTTGATTTTACTTGGTGCAATTCTGTAGAATGTCTACATATCGTTACTTACAGTTTGGAAAACCGAAGCATCACAAACCTTTAAATTTACACAGGACTGGACAATGATGTAAGCATCACATCGATAATGGTGGGCTACCATCCTCTAAGTTCTCATGCTCAGTAGGAGAAATCAGTCACATTCCTTGGGTGGTTTTTTTTTTTCACTATAGAAATAGTTCTTTCTAATCTCAGCATTTCTGCTGAAATGATTTTATGTCAAATGACTGAAGCAAATTCAATGCACAGTCCTGTGGTGCACTTCAAACCAGATATGCCAAATCTTGGTGATTAGCTATGCCATCAGCTTTAAACACTGCCATTGTGCCAGAAATAAGAGCGACTCTCTGCTCCACTTTGGGTCATAGGCTGTTGTGAAATACACTGAAAAGACAAGTACCTCCTAGTCTTGCAGTGTGTCTGCAGTCTGTTTCACTAGTTCTTACTGCTGTCCATAAAGTAATAGGGAAGAAAACACTTCTCTGGATACAAAACCTCTTGGGCTTAGACTTAGCTCTAGCTGGGAACCAGAACCAGAAGTCTGAAAGTTGCCCTTTTATGTTTAACTGTTTAATCCTTGGTTTTGTACGCTTAGCAAGCACTGT